TGCTATCTCCCCGGTTGGGAAGATAGACCAAGCAGAGGAATGACATCGTGGTGGGCGTCATCGCTTCGGGACTTCCCTGGCATGACGCTAAGTCCATGGCCTCCTCGCAGAACCCGTCTCACGTACTTTTTGCATCTTACCTCGAGAGTCCTTGCTTCGTGCTATCAAGTACTGATCCCCTTCTGCCGAAGTGATGATCTGCTTTGGGGGACCCTCCACTCAGTTGCGCGTCGGATGTTTATGTATAGTACATACTGATTCCAGGGCTTTGGTCCCTTTATTGGTACTTCTGTACTCTCGATGCAATGATCTCATTGTCGTGAGCAATAATGAGACTGAGACTCCGGAGTCCTCGCCTTCTCAAGGTCGCATCCCAGCACAGTACTACGCCTCTTCCTATACTGTATATAGTATCTGGAGTTCTCGAATACGGTACATGCGATGAGGTATCAAGGAGACGATAAGCCATCCAGCCAAAAGTTCCGGATGTCTGATCCGATCTGCGTTTCGTCGTCGGTACCTTGGCTGAGTGTATCCCCCCTGCAATAATGGCTGATCTTTTCTTATAGGTATGGTCCTCAGAGAGACCTGTGCTTCCTACTGTACCCCGCAAAGGCTGTCTGCTCGAGCACCGACAGGATAGATAAGCGCAAGAGACTCGGTTCTTACCTCCATAACAGTCATTGGACAGCGCCTGCCTCCGTACAGACAATAGGAACGTTTCCCACCTGGACACTATCAGTTCACGGATGCACCGCTGTCTGGGTCAAGGCGTCGCTCTCAACACTTCCCGTATGGACCATGGCCATTGGCCCGAGCGAACTATTGATGGCTGCGATGCAAGGGGGGTCGATACCTTTTCGCCCCGTGTAGATCAAAAACCGCTGTAGTGGTGACAAATCAAGGGTCTTCGATCCTCATTCGACTCTCTTGGTCATCGGGATCATGGCACGTTGATTCGTCGATCCGGTGCTGCCTCGCGTCTGTGCCAATTTGTGATAGAGATATCTGCCCCCAAGAGGGACCAAGAGGACCCAGAGAACCCAGAGGACCCAGAGGACCCAGCTTAGGACCCGAATGATCCCAAAAAGTCACTAGCTCGAGCTGTCGAACTTTGCCGGAATCTTCTTGGTGCTTCCCCGCGTCTCCTCATGGAGAAGAGGACGATGAAGAAAGAGCAGGAGATCCCGAATGGGACCAAAATGGAGCCAGAAGGTCAGATAGGCTTCATTGTTCCTGGCCCGAAGGACGTCGGGGATAGTCTGGATGCACGAACTCAACCACCATGACAATGCCAACCAAGAATATACGCCGGGCCCATTGTGATGATCTAGTATACCGTGTAAGACCTGCACCAAACTGGGGAATATCTTGCATACTTGCGAGAGGTCAAAAGCAAACCTTTGCTTTAGGAAAAATCGAAGAGAAAAAATATACATGGTAGAAAAAAAGAAAAAGAGTACCTGGAAAGAAAAAGAAAATAAAACGATGAAGAAAAAAGCAAAATGTGAAAAATAAAAGTAGGGAGAAAAAAAAGGAATATTTCCCCAGAAGTAAAAATAACATCAAACAACGCCCGGGAAGGAAGCTGTATGTAATCGACTCATGGTAGCCCCGTTTCCTTCTTGAGGTAGTCGCAGATCGAGCTAATCCGTTTAACTCAGACTAGGGAAAGTGCAAGCCCTGTAATCACTGGTTATGGATGCTTGAGGGGGGCCCGGCCTGGCGGCGGTGGTGCCGGTACCAATGAAGTGCAGTACCACTCTGGGATGAAGTTGTTGATACATCCTTCCTCTCAACTACAGCTTGCAGTGCTAGTTATTCATCTTCACTTTCTACACATACACACTCACACACTCACACGCACGCATAGAGAGAAAGATGGACCCTCTCATCTTGCCTATCCTTCGGATCTCCTTCTCTCCATCTGATGGAGTTCATTGCCAGCTCAACCGTACGTCTGAGCGCCACCACAATGGCGTCTTTCCGCGCTCGCTCTTTCTCCCCTCCCCACCTCCTTCATTGGATTCATCAATTCCCCCCTCCTGTCTCCTCGTTCACTTCCTGCAATATAAATCATGCAGCGGAAGCCTCCCGTATCCCTGGAAAGCACAGTGTTCCTCGATTATATCTTCCATACCTCGTGGTTTTCCATTGAATATCCTCAGTGTTTCTCAGCTTTCCATAGCAACCCTTCCCCTTGATCACAATATTGTTTTCTAGAATTACAATTCATTCGCCACTCCATCTTTAGTCACTGATCTATCCCCCTTGAAAGGCAGTCTCGAACCTATATATATGCCATCTGTGTTTGCCCCTCGTCGTTGAAATTACTCTCAGACATCCCGCGAAGGTGCAGACGTACCGTACATATCAGAGACATTCCCCAGTCCAGACGCATCAGCCTCAGACATACAGCGTCCCCAACTGCAAGAGACAAGACACCCTTCTTTGTCTCACTCATCAGCACAGCAAATCTTTGACTGAATGTCTGACGACATCTTCCGGCGCTCTCCATCGTGAGTCCCCTTCCTGTGTCCTTGCCTCCAAACGCAGAGCTGACAGCTCTCGGCTGCGTAGCGACATGCGCACCATCTCCAGTGCCTCCAGTACCGCAGACATGAGCGACGACCGCCGTCTACCACCCCTACCACGGGTGGAGCCCTTGCCCCGGGGACCTTTCAACCCCTTCACTTCCAACATTTTTGCTCCTAGTCCGCCTACGTCACACGAAACTTTCCCTGTCAGATCCCCTTGGCCATCGGCGGAGCATATGGTGGCACCTCCATCCCCGGCGACCTCCGCTGATAGCTCTTGGCCGGAGCCTTTGCCTTCGCAGAAAGTTCTCGAGTGGCACCAGGAGCTCTCTCACAATGAAATCCTGAGTCTGATCATGCCTAAGCACATCAACCGCAAGCCACCACTGCAGCAACTGTGTGGCCGTAAGCGGAAGGGAAATATGATTTCGGCGGACTCGGACGAGCAGAGGGAGAAGCACAGAATTGCTGAGGGTAATCGCCGCAAGAACCTCAGCCAGCTGCACCGCGAACTCGACAGTCGCCTCCACGATTTCTTCCTTGAGCGAGCAGGTTGGAATCCATCCAAGAGTCTCCCTGAATCGAAAGAGCATATTGTGCAGGCCGCCATATTTCTCATCGACTTCATGCTTGTGATCATTATTCATCTGATCCACCAGGAAAATGAGCCGCCGCGTCACCTTTCGAAAAAGCTGCAGACCCAACTCCGTTGCATGCAGCTGCAGCAAACAGTGTCCCACCTACAGCAACAGAATCAGAGCCTTCAACAACAAGTCAAGACCCTGAAGCAAGAGAACCAGATGTTGGAGGAGCGCAATCAGACGCTTGAGTTTCAGCTGAAGACGTATGAGCACATGTTCCGCACCTCCAAGAGCGAGCACATGGCCCCTCAGCCGATGCCAAATCCAGCAGAGCCCAAGCCACGGAACATGCTCCCTGGCTTGAGGGTGTTCTGTGACGAGATTGCTGTCAATGGCCCTGAGTCTCGGTTGGAGCACATTCCCGCTGCAGCAACGCAGTCATTTGGCCACTCTTACCCGGGTAACACTCCCCCCGTCACCGGCCCCTCGTCACCGATGTTCACTCAGGCATCTTACTCGGTACCGGCATCACGACGCCCATCGCTCAACCCGTCGCCCTGATCGACTTGAGCGCGCCGCGCCAACGAACAGCTGCGAGCGCTGCACTCAGCAGTCAAATCTTGAATTGCAAATAGAGATTGGTACATACTGCAGTCGCAAATCCGTCACCACCCTTTTCAACTGTGTTTCTTTCTAGCATAGCGGGAGCGTTTTTCATCGACATACACTTGCAACATCAGAGCTTGCATATTGATTTATTTATTGCTTTGTCGAGTACGGGATCCACGTGACGGGGCCTTCGTTCTCTGTCTGGTGTCAGCTGATTTCGAAAGTGGTGGTGTACATCAAAAGAAAAGGTCGTTCGGGGAGTATGAGCATGGCATTTCTCATGGAGTTTGTACCAGTCCCTCCGTTGTTTATAGTGTCTATATCGAGAGAGGCTATACAGGGTATCGTTTGTGGGCTTCATTTCTGGCGTGAAAAGGGATCTATCTGGGAACCATCTTGTGATTTACTGAGTTTAGAAGCATTTATATACATACATCATCATTTTCGGTAATTCAGATCTCTTTTGCAATCTTCTTCCATGTTTTCGCTCATTAGTTTCGGATGTTTTTCAGAAGGCTTATGGGTAAAATCATTATGAGAGAAACCCCATGAGAGATGTATGTCTGACGGGTGTCACTCACGAAGTAGTATTATGAAATGAGCCAATGGCCGGCAGCAGAGGAGCAAAACTTCTTAGAAGCCCTGGACAAAGTAAGTAGTAACATTTTAGAGAGACCTAGTAGGCAGAGGTCACAGGTGGAATGGGTGTCTCCGAAGGCAAGTGAATTATTCATGGTTATGCTGATGAGTAAGATATCATTAGTCAGGTCCACGGTAACTTACCCTACCTAGTAGTTATTAAAAGTAACGGACCAATCCGGTAGCGGCCAACTGGACTCTCTGGCTGGAACCATCGGGCGGGTCGAATCTTCTAATCCCTCGCTGTCAAACTGGTCCGTCTTTCCTTTCGACGACCGTTCCCGAATTTCCTCCTGGGCTTGCGACGCTGGCATTGAATTGTCGAGGATTAGCAGGGCTTTTGTTTTTGTTCGAACCTTCTGTCCGGCTCACGCCTACGTTCGTTTCAAGTCCAATCACCCATTGCTCGGTTTCGGTTCCGCGCTCTACCGCAGCCAGCCCTTGAGTCGAGTTCCCTTACTACCCTTTTCCTTCCCCGGGCGATCGCAGGTCCCCCCCCTTCTCCGTATCGCATCATCAACTCTGACCTGTCCACGTCAACCCATCGGGCTTGTACCTGGCTTGGAAGTTGATTTACGATCGGGGCTCACGTCAAGTTTCCTCTTCCTCGTCGCGGGAATAGTCTCTTTCTTCACTTCGTTCGCCTGTCATCTCGTCGATCGGAGAGCGATTCAACGGTCTCCTTGGATTTGTGTCTCAGCGACAGGTAAATCACGAGAAATCGTCGCCTGTTGTGAGCATCGGCGATTTCCTGATAAGTGAAGCGAGGCAAATTACGGGTTGGCTCGCGTTCAACTTCAGCGACCTTTTCTCCTTTACAAACATGTTGCTCCCCAAGGGTGGTGTAACGTGGAAGTCGGCCAAAGCCAGGCTGCCTCCATGGCGCGCTGTTCTGTTCATGGTCACGAGAACTAGATTCCTAGTATCACTGGCCGTGACTGGCTTGATGGTCCTTCTATGGCGTGGTATCAGCAGGTCGGCTTCAGAAATGCAAAGGTGAGTCCCCTCTTTCATCGATCGCGCAGGTCGCCATACAATGACTCCCTATCGTGAGTTCAAGACACGGAAAGAGTTAACACCGACGACTGCATGCAGTTTCTATTGCTACGGCCCTCCGAAATCGCCAATGGATATGTCCATCAATGAAATGGTTGAATGGAACGCACATCTTCAGACCCCTGTGGTCTTTAATCACCACGATGCCTACGAAGTAAACTCATCGAATATCAAGCACGTCGACCTCAATCCCATCAAGTCGACCCAACAGGCCGTCGCGAACGCTGAGCGAGTACTTATCCTGACGCCACTAAGAGATGCCTCGGCTCATCTGATCAACTACTTCGACCTTCTCTACAAGTTGACGTACCCCCACGATCTCATCGATCTGGCATTCCTCGTTGGCGATAGCAAAGATGACACCATGGCTGTCCTTACCGCAGAGTTGGCTCGTATTCAGTCTCAGACCGATGAGAAAATCGCTTTCCGCAGTGCTACAATTGTGGAGAAGGATTTCCATAGCGATTTCCAGATGAATGTCGAAGACAGGCATTCATTTGCCGCTCAGGGACCGCGCCGCAAGGCTATCGGCAGAGCTCGGAACTACCTACTCTACTCTGCTCTCAAGCCTGACCACTCATGGGTCTATTGGCGAGATGTCGACATCTCTGACAGCCCACCCAGTATCATTGAGGACTTCGTCGCTCACGACAGAGACATTCTCGTGCCCAGTATGTTATTACCTTCAGACATGTACCCTAGGAGCTTCATACTAATCATCATCACAGACATCTGGTTTCACCGCTACAGGGATGGCCGCGATATTGAGGGTCGCTGTATGTACCATGCCAACAAATCAACCTATTGACACTGTTTGCTGACTCTTGCAGTTGACTACAACTCGTGGATCGAATCCGACAAGGGACGTCGTCTTCGCGAGACTCTCGATCCGGATACTGTTTTGGCCGAAGGTTACAAGGAGTATGATACTGGCCGACAATACCTCGTTGGCATGGGTGACTGGAGGAACAACAAGGATGAGGAAGTCGAGCTGGACGGCATTGGCGGAGTCAACATCCTCGTCAAGGCTGACGTTCATCGGTCTGGTATCAACTTCCCTGCTTACGCCTTCGAGAACCAGGCCGAAACCGAAGGATTCGCCCGCATGGCAAAGCGTGCTGGGTACGGCGTCTATGGACTACCCAACTATGTCGTCTGGCATATCGATACCGAAGAGAAGGGTGGTAACCTTGGGGGCCGCAAAGCCTATTAGCTGCATTTACGGGTTGATCCTATCTTTCATGCAGTTTGAGTGAAGCGACCATCTTCATTCCTTGTTACCAAAACTCGAAATACCCTTTTTTTTCCCCGTGTACATCTGAGCCGTTATGATGGTCATCTATGTGGAGGCTCACCTATTACGTCTTTTTTATTTCAATCTTTGTGTTCTTTTCTTTTTTACCTTCTCTTTGCATCTGTTCTATTTGCCTGAATGCATGCTACGGACACTGAGACGGATATCTCACAACTCCGGTAATTTTTCTTTCTTTGTCTTTTTCTTTTTTTTTTTGTGTGTGTGTGTGTGTGTGTGTGGGTGTGGGTGTGTGTGTGGGTGTGAGTTTGCGATCCAGGGTTATGTCTGGCTTTGTTGGCGCTACAGGGACAGTGTTTAGGTATATTGGAGAACACCCATAGAGCGCCGGTTGACTGAGCTCTGATTATGGCTTGCTATGTTCTTTCCTGCGGTTAAGATACGAATGACGAGCATCTGCTCGCTCAGCGGCTGGTGCTCTATGCGCACCAGGCATGTTTGATTGTGTATGCCGATGCGCATTGCACTCTACGCTCTGTCTCGATTACTGGATCAGAGCGGCAGTGTCATCAAGTAAGAGGCGCACAGAGGAACAAGGCTAGGCACGGTCTCTGATCTCCATGTCCATGTACATATGTCGTACAGGGTAGAGTAGTTCGAGCAATAATAACCTGCTACGATGGTATCATTGACAAGCATGAGCCCCGCTTCCAAGGTGATCACTGCGTCAAGACAGCTGTGAGACATGGGGGAGAGGGGGTTGAGAGGGGGTTAGACTAAATCCCAGTGACACCAAAACCGGATAAGTCTTGCGCCCTCAGCTCCGTCTCCCCCGCCCACCACCCACTTAACTCAGCCTCCCCGCCCTCCGCTTTCGCTTTCCCCTCGGCCAACGCCATATATTTCTTCTACTTCTAACTGTAGTTGCTCTATTGAGTTTGGCGCTGCTACTCCTTTGGCTCTTCGTTTCTCCCCTGTCACTACTACTGCTGCTGCTGCTGCTACACTATCTTAACTCAACTGTCCACCAAAATGTCTGCCAAGAACGAGTTCCTTTGCATCCTCCCGGACAAGCCCGACGCATTGGCCAGAAGACTGGAAGTGCGCGCGTAAGATTGACTCCTTCAACCGTTTGCCGCTGGCGCAGAGCTGAAAATGAATCAGACAACATCTTGCAAATGTCACCCCTCTTGTTGAGTCCGGAAAGGTTGTCCTGGGCGGTATGTCCCAAGCAAATCATCCTCCCAAACAACAACATCGGCTAAATCAATGGAATGCGGATAGGAGCCATGCTCGACCAGCACCCGAAACCAGACGACTCCGTCTCCTTCAAGGGCAGTGTTATGATATACGTCGCAGAGAGCAAGGAGGAGGTCGAGGAGTTGGTGAAGAATGATATCTACACCAAGTCTGATGTATGGGACCTAGAGAAGGCTCAAATCATTCCGGTACGGTCACCATCTACTTGTCTTTTCTGTGCGCACGTGCTGACATACTTCGCCCTACTTCAGTTCAAGTCTGCTGCTCGCTTGGCTTTGTAGATCTCTTCCCCATAGTTGACGAATGCAATGACATCGTGGATCTCGTGACAATATGTTGAATGGTTCCTTTTGACGGATTGTAGTATACCACTGAAATCCTTTGTGCATGACAGCTGATAAATTGTTAGGTTCGAATCGACATACTCGAGTCGCGCTTCTCCACAACCCTCCCGTGGTAGTTAGGCCACCTTATTCTACGCTTCCCACGATCATTGCCAGGTTTTCCTCCGAGATGACTGCTAAGTGGCTTCCATCCCCATGACTCCTTGCACGCCTTGAATCCATTGCTATTGCTATGCATAGTCGAGGGGCTATCCGCATTTGCATGCATTAACCGCTACGCCTCTCTCTCCTCTTTAGGAAGACATTGTACACGCGGCACTTGCTCTGTCGCGACAATTGTCGCTGAATGCTGGTTTCCTGGATGTGACTCATGCTCGAATGCTCTAGCTCTTGCTCAGCTGCGAGCTATCTAGTCGCCAAGACTGAACTGCATGGATGATGAAACGGTCGATGAGGGTATTCGTCGTGCCTTTCATCATTCGACGAAACATGCACAGTCGAGTCTTGGCACATATACTCCGATGCATTACTACCTTGGGTCACCGACTCGTCATTGCATGTACAATGATCGACGCCGTTGCTTTTGTGTTGTGTCATCAAATCGAAGCCCACTGGAATTTGAGCTTGCCGAGGATTTGACACCTAGCATTTACTTCGGGGGTCTTCGGTCGGGTGATGCAAAGAAAGGATATTTGACGTAAGCAAAAAAGGAGGGATGGATTCGAAGCTGCTATCTTGAATTAGTCATGTGTAGTAAGACTGGTGGAACGGTGACGTTGTTATCACATTTTGAACCAGGTTAGTATAAAGTGCAGGGTCAACCGCCCTTGCGGATATCCATTACGGAATTTGATAATGTAGATCGCTTTGATATTGCATGAACCGGATCTGACACGACTCCGTGTGGTATGTACCGGTCTATGGATTGCCATCATGTTCCAGTATTTAGCCATGAGGACGGACAGACCGTGGCAAACGTGGGATGATCACAACAGCAGCCACGACAACCGAAATAACAACACAGAAAACACTCTCCGCAAGGTTCAGATCGTTCACTATCTGCCTTGGACAGGACTCGTATTCCGATCGCCTAGATACATCTAGAACGCTAATATACTAATACTCTCCATACCGTCAGCCATGCCCTCCAATGAATCTCTTTCCCAGCCTGCGGGCGGCAACGGCAACAACGCCCTCCTCCGCAGCGTCAACCCGAACTATACTGGCTACGACTATGTAAGCTGGTACGTCGGCAACGCCCGCCAAACGGCGACATACTTCGTCGCCCACTTCGGCTTCAGCATCGTCGCCTACCGCGGTCCCGAGACGGGCTCCTATCTCTCGTGCTCGTACGTTGTGGCCAACGGCGCCGCCCGATTCGTCTTTACCGCCCCCATCGTGGCCGCGGACAACGCCGCCGAACAGCGGGGCTCGGACGAGGATCGCCGGCTGCTCGACGAGATCCAGACGCACCTGAACAAACACGGGGACGGGGTCAAGGACATCGCCTTCCAGGTCGACGACGTGACGGGCGTCTGGGAGCACGCCGTCCAGAACGGAGGGGCCGTCTCGCTCCAGGAACCCACGACCCTGACCGACGAGGTCGATGGCGAGATCCTCCGGGCCACGATCAAGACATTCGGCGACACGGCGCACACGCTCATCAACCGCTCCGGCTACCGGGGCGTCTTTCTTCCCGGATACGCCGCCGTGTCGGGTCTCGACCGCTTGAACGACCTGCTGCCGCCGGTCGATGTCATTGAGATTGACCACTGCGTGGGCAACCAACCGTGGGACGGGTTGGACACCATTGTCAAGTTGTAAGTGCTTCGTCCTCTACCTCTACACAATACGTACGTGGGCTGACTACAGCCTCTTCTGGCGCCAGCTATGAGGACGCGTTGAACTTCCACCGCTACTGGACCGTCGACGACAAGGAAATGTGCTCCGAGTTCTCGGCAATGCGCTCTGTTGTCGTGGCCTCGCCGGACGAGGTGATCAAGATGCCGATGAATGAGCCGGCTGTTGGGCTCAAGAAATCCCAGATCGAAGAGTAAGCTTTTTGTCTCCTTCTGAGTGGGTGTTTCATTGATCTACAAAACCGACTCCCTCTCCCCACCCACCTCCCGAGTCCTCCCAACCCCCCCTCCACTTCCCATTCAAACACAAACCCAACGTATCCAAAAGAAGGACCGATAGACCAACTCCCTGACAACATCCTACAGATTCGTCGACTACTACAACGGCGCCGGCTGCCAGCACATCGCCTTCCGCACAGCCAACATCATCGCCGCCGTCGAGAACCTCGGCCAGCGCGGCGTCAACTTCCTCACCGTGCCGGCCAACTACTACACGACCATGAAGAAGCGGCTCGCGGCGAGCAGCCTCAGCATCGCCGAGGACATCGACACCCTGCAGAGGTACAACATCCTCATCGATTTCGACGAGGGCGGCTACCTGCTGCAGATCTTCACCAAGCATGTGGTCGACCGCCCCACGGTGTTCATCGAGATCATCCAGCGGGAGAATTTCGATGGGTTCGGGGCGGGCAATTTTCGGAGTTTGTTCGAGGCGTTTGAGCGCGACCAGGCTGCTAGAGGGAACCTGTAGAGTGCGGTCGGATGGGGTGGGTTCATGTATTGGTTTAACTGAGGGGAAGGGGGAGGGGTGTTTCGGGAGCTGGAGCGTCGTTTTTGGGTTTGGATCGTTTGGGCGATTGGGTTCTTGTTTGTCTGTTGCTTCGATCTTGAGATGTTTGGGAAAGATCAGATTGCGGGTTTGTGCACAGAAAGAGAGTGTGCTCTATTCAAGCTTATACTGGGGCTACGGGGCTACAGGGCCAGGGGTTTTGGTTTCTCTGAGCCGTGTTGAGATACGAGATGCGTACAGGTGATAGAATAACTAACGATAGTGACCTTTAGGACAGCGATGATAATAACAGCAAGATATCTATCTATAGTGCAAACATCCGCCTTACTCTTTTCGTATGTTGCGTGAGCAAGATCTATATTCTAAAGCATTCCCTAACCTTACGAGACTACAGCTTGGCCTTGACCTTCAGCATCGCCTCGGCCACCTTGCGCCGCTGGATCTTCCCCGTAGCTGTCTTGGGAATCTGCGGGACAAGCCAGATCTGTGGAAATCATGCGTATTAGCAGCAGCCATTTCGGTGCCAAAAAAAAAAAAAAACCAGCCAGCAGCGACAGACATACCTTCTTTGGCGTCTTGAACTTAGCCAACTTCGACTCCACCCAGGCCTTGAGTTCGGCCTCGGTGGCACTCGCGCCGTTCTTCACCACCACCGCCGCCCCGATCTCCTCGCCGTAGTGACCCTCATCGGGGATGGCGAAGCACACCGCCTCCGCCACCTTGGGGTGGTGGAGAAGGGTATTGTCCAGCTCGATGGGACTGATCTTCTCGCCGCCCTTGTTGATCAGCTCCTTGATGCGGCCCGTGATGATCACGTACCCGTCCGCGTCCTGCTTGCCCTGGTCGCCGGTGCGGAAGAAGCCGTCCTCGGTGAAGGACGACCTGTTGGCTTCCGGGTTGTTCAGGTACCCCTTGGTGACATTCTCCCCGCGCACGCAGATCTCCGCCTCCTGGCCCTGGGCCACTTCCTTGCCGGCCGCGTCCAGGATCCGCACTTCCACCCCCTGGCCGAGACCCACGCTGCCGGGCTGACGCTTCGCCGGGGGCAGGGGGTTGCTGGTCATCTGGTGCGCGGCCTCCGTCATGGCGTAGGCTTCGAGCACTGGGGCGTTCAACGCTTTCTCGAGGTCCTGGAAGGTCTTGGGGGAGAGCGGGGAGGAGCATGACCGGATGAAGCGGATGGCCGGGATGCGGTTGGGTAAGGGGGTCTTCAAGAGGATCTGGTGGATCGTGGGCACCGCGGAGTACCAGTTCGCCTGGTAGGTGATGAAGTCGGACCAGAACTCCGACGCCGAGAATCGCGCGGGAACGATCACCGAGCCCCCGGAGTACAGAGGCGCCAGGAATGCGGCTAGCAGACCGTGGACGTGGAAGAGGGGCATCACCAGGTAAGTCCGGTCTGCTGGGGTGAGGTTGTATGTCGCTTTGATGTTGCCTGTGCGGGGATTGGTTAGATCGGGAGGGGTTTCTTTTTTTTTTTTTTTTTTTTTTTTTTTTTGGAGGATATGCTGGGGAAAGGACTGGATGCTTACGCATTGTGGTGGTCAGGTTCTTGTGTGTGAGCGGGACCTGATTGTGAGAGTGGTTAGTGGATGATACCGATAAAAATAACAAATCGAACCTGATCACAGGGAACAGGGCATGAGACGTACAGCCTTGGGCCTGCCAGTGGTTCCGCTCGTGTGCAAGACGAGAGCAACATCATCGGGTTGAGCTTGTTGGACACTGACACCTCCATTGCCAGACAGCTTGCCCTGTTCCTTCACATCGAGCACGATCTCGGCACCGTTCCAGTAGCACTCGGCGATCGCGGCATTGTACTTCCTCCCCGCGCGAACGGCGGGACCTTCCTTCGCATAGGAACCCTGGGGGATCAAGACCAGGGTGGAGCTGAGATCGTCGATGTAGAATTCGAACTCCTCCTGCTTATAGGCCGGGTTGAGCGGCGCGGCGATCGCCCGCTGCCACGAGGCGGCCAGAAAGGCCACGATGAACTCGTACGAGTTGGTCAGCGCCAGGGACACGGCGGCGCCATGTCCGACCCCAAGCTTGGCTAACTTGGCCTGGAAGTCAGCGATATGCTTGTGCAACTGCTGATAGGTGATCGCCAGAGGATGGGTTTTATTGGGCACTAGGATGGCGATATCCGCACTATCGGAGGAGAATGACCGCGCCAATGTTGCCATGGCGAGTAGTGTGCTGCACGAGGGTGACACTTGGGTCTTGGCTGTCAGGGATGTTTGGGAGAATCGATGGGTACTTCAAATGAGTATTGCGATGATGGTGATTTCAATAACACAATGGCACAATGGCACAATGGCACAATGGAACTCTTTTGCGTCAAAGGCTTTCTTCAGTGTCAAGAACAACGCAGAGTTGCAGGCAGTCATGCCAGCCAGGCAATTGCATCATGACCTTAACCGGTAGGCATCTTCCAATCCCTACATAGTTAGTGCCAGTACGGGCCGGATACTTTGTTCCGTTCCACTCTGCTTTAGGGCTGGGCTGGGCTCACTCCAGGCTCAGCTTGGCATCGGGATTTCCTAATTCAACTCTGGGGCTCCAGTTCACCATCCGGTCACGTGATTGGATCCTCGTTCTGCTGGCTTCGCGGGCGGTGAAAGACCTGGAATAATTGCATCCCGAGGCTGTTGATATACTGCCGTCTGGACGGTGTGGAAGGCGGTGGAGTGTAGCGGCCACCGCTTCGCCGGAACTGCCGCTTCTCATGATCATCAAACCTCAGACGAGTCTATGAGAGTCGTCGGGGATTTGCGTCATCCAAGCTTAGCGGACTTGTCTTTTATGACCACACCATCTTTGAATCTATATAGAACACGTTATTATCGCTGAATAGACTTAGCCGCCATTCGTCATGAGCTCCGATCCCGCCCCTCCTAAGCCTGGAGGAGGCCTGTCACTATATGCCAATCTGCTGGACCCCTCCGCGGATAACTCTCCCGGAACGATTTCTCGCGCGCCTGTTGTGTTCAGACAGGGCGCTGAGGCCGAGGCCCAATCCGATGATCCAGCCGCTAAAAAGCAGCAGCTCAGTGCCGGTAGACTCATGCCCTTCTCTTTTGAGCGAACTTTGTCGTCTCTTTGATCGATCTGATTGCTCACTTGTCCGCCCGGTGATTCATGTCGGTGGCATTCAGCTTCTCTCCGATTTCAACCTACCAGAAGACCTCAGCTCGCTACTCAGAAACCTAAGCCGAAGCCCACACTGCCTAAAGCTCCAATCACTGCCACGCCGGCCGCTGCATCAATCAAAACCACCCTTGCAGACTGGGCGGCTACCGAAGACGACGATGTCAACGGGTTCTATGCTGGGCCGAAGAGGCAGCGCGGAGGTCGCAAGAAGCGCAAGAAGAATCGGGAAGTGCAAGAATTCATACAGAACTGGGATGATATCTACGATCCGTCTCGGCCAAACAATTATGAGGAATACAAGCATAGCGACGAGCAGATAGCTGAGATCCGAGAGTGGAAAGACCGTCTATATGCACATCGCATGGCAAGATCGCCCAGTAGGGAGTCATACAGTGATGATGATGATGACTATGCACGGCCAAGGAACCGTAAGCTCACACTATTGACATGACGAGAACGTTCATTTGCTCACCATAGGATTCCAGGTCAATTCGCGCCCCCGGGCAGTTTCGCACCGCCCCCGGGCCTTAACGATGCTCCGCCCAGGCCACCTGTGGAATCACCATCCACTGAAGAACGAACCGAAACTCCGGTTGATGTGTCGATGGGAGGGATTCCCCCGCCCCCGCCGCCAGATGAACTACCAGCCCATGTTCCCGACGACCCCACAGGCGAGGATGCTTATCTGCGAAGGCTCCAGATGTCGACGGCAGGGAGCTCAGCAGTGCCCCCTCCACCGCCTCCGCCGCGGCCTCTGGATGAATTGCAGCCAGCTTCTGCGACCATATCTCGCGCTCCGGTTCGATACACATTACCTCCTCCTCCTGAGGACATACCTGCCTCGGAAGCAGAGCTTGAAGAAGTGTTCGCCAAGGAGCAACCGGTTGATGATGAGCCAGGAGACGATGGTCAGCGCTCCTTAAGACCGGGTCAGAAGGGCTTTGCGGAACGACTCATGGCGAAGTATGGCTGGACAAAGGGCTCTGGCCTTGGTGCCACAGGGTCCGGAATTGTCAAGCCACTGCAGGTCAAAGTTGAAAAACAGAAGAAACGGCCGGACTCAGAAGGGGGTGGCTTTGTGACGCCTGCTGGACGGGGTAAGGTCATTGGCGGTGCGCGGAAGAACGAGGAAGAAGGCAAGTTCGGCCCAATGAGTGAAGTAATCGTTCTCAAGGGCATGCTTGATGGGATGGATCTTGAGGCTGAATTGGCTGGCGACGGAGAAAGCGGGGGTCTCATGCAGGAGATTGGAGAAGAATGCTCCGACAAGGTCAGTGATTATACGAGAACCCCTGACGATTGCCCTATCTAACTTGCGAGCAGTACGGCCGTGTCGAGCGAGTTTACATCCCACGAGATTCGATGAAGCCCCCTGTTCCAGTGTTTGTGAAATTCACCAATCAGCTTTCGGCGCTGCGGGTAAGGCAAAACCCAGTCATATCACTCATCAGTTACTGTCCAGTGTACTAATGAGGCTTGTAGGCGGTTAATGCTCTCGAGGGCCGAATATTCAATGGAAACGCCATTACTGCGCGGTTCTACGATACACAGAGGTTTGAGGAAGGGGATTATGATGGTCAATAAAAATGGAACCTAGTGATAATCTAGCTATCTTCGAGCGCGAATAATGACGTGACGGAGGAACATATATCACATTCTTCAAGTCTCACGTGTACCCTTATCGAGACTTGTCATGCAAGTCAGAAAGTGATTCTATCGAATAAACCCTCGTCAGAAGGCTCGGACTTCTCAGCGTTCTTTGAGTCCGGAGCAGGCTTGTTGTGTGTTTTGACCTCTCGTTTCCTAGGGAGTGGGATACCAGACTGAACCCTTGGTTTCTTACCCACCTCGTTGCTTGGCTTGACTTCCTGTTTCCTAGGGAATGGGATGCTAGTCTGGCGCTTTGGCTTCTCATCCACTTGGTTGCATATTTTGGCTTCCTGGTTCTTGGGAACTGGGAGACCAGACTGGTACCTTGCTTTCTTATCTACCTCGCTGCGGGCTTTCACTTCCTGACGTCTAGGGGTTGGAATACCGGTGGGACGCCTTGGTTCCTCGATGTCGCTGCAGGCTTTAGTTCCCTGACGTTTAGGGACTGGAATCCCCAAGTGACACTTTGGTTCCTTAATGTGGTTGGGGATGTCGACCTCCGCAGTCTCCGGGACGGGATTATCGGCTTGACACTTTGGTTCCTCAGTTTCCCTCCCGATGCTGACATCGTGACCTTCAGGAACCGAAATACCGGATTGACACTCTAGTTTCTCCTCAACGGGTTTGCAGATGTCGACCGCTTGACTTTCAGGGACTGGGGCCTCTGGCTCGCTGGACGTACGCATTGCTTCATAATACTCTCTGTAGTACTCCTGGCAGTCGGGACATAGCCCCTTCATTGGGATCCCAGTAGCTTCAGGGTTGGCACATTCATACCCCACTCTCAATGCTTCATCGCATCTGATATCCAAGTCACGGGACACATCGATGCATGTACACCCAGAAAAGTAATAACGAATCTTATGGCACATCCTGAATGCGTGATCAGAGGTCGACTGCTGGGAAGTGGGTCAATGGTGTATTATTGTACAGAAGGATAGCCCTCCCCGCTAGATAACAGGTCGACTGATGATGATTTTCCTTGTACCCTGGCTAAGATGCTGCGGCGTTGAAGTCAGTAGACCGAGCCAAGCGAAGTGACAGGCAGCATGATCAAGCACGCTGCGAGCAAGCCATTTTTACTTAAATAATTAACAGGGTGTATGTGAGACCTAGCTTGAATAATCACAGTCCCCATGGTCAGAGGAGACCTTCCGATAAAGCCTTTGTCACCCATGGCTTGCAGGCCTTGGGTTATCAGTCTGTTATGGTAGGTTCATTCAAAAGGCGACGGGTTCATGCATTGTCTTGCTATAACAAAGACATGTTCGCAATGTAGTCGATGCTCGGACCAGTAATCAGGCGGGGATTGAGAGACAACTATAGCCCAATCTGTCATGTGATGAGGATGACCTGCAGCAGCTCCCGAGACTGATTGGCTGGGGGGCGGATCGATAGCCGGTGGGCGAGGCGGGCGACAACTGGTGGCAGTGCCCAGTCTCCCAGGCCGGGATGATCTGGAACTTCCGTTGTGCACATCCATTCACATTTACTAAACTAAACTACTACTAGGTAACCTACACCCGTGGACTTTCCCGTCCATTCATATAACACATCTGTGTTCTTTTCTTCTCTCTTTCCTTCTATCCCTCCTCATCTCTGCACCTAGCTACTCCCTGGTCACCTCTTTCCAGCGTCAGTCATCTATCCTCCCACTTTCAGCTTCCAAGTCTCCCCCACCCACGTGAATTGCGTATATTCGACATGTCGCTCTGCATAAACCGCCTTACAGAAGAAAGGTGAGGGTTTCTGTCACCTCCATGGATGCGCCATGGTATAGTCAGGCTAGTGCGCTAACCTCTGATATTGCGCCCCCCACATGAAGAAAGCAGTGGCGTCGAGACCACCCTTTCGGATTCTACGCGAGGCCCCATCGCAACCCTCAAGGGGCGCTCGACCTCAAGAGATGGGAGTGCGGTATTCCTGGAAAGGCGCAAACCTTATGGGAGGGTGGGCTTTTCAAGCTCGACGTTACGTTTCCAGATGGTGAGTTCAACTTCTCGGTCATCAGCTTTTTTCCTTTGTGCGACAGGCCATAACTGATCGCTGGCCCACTACGCAGAATATCCGACTAAGCCACCTAAATGTAAGTGCATCCCGGCTGACAATAACAATCATCCCCATGCGACTTTGAAAGTCTTGCGCCAGCCTCACGATATCGCGCGCCAGAAACTAATATGGCTTTCATTACCCGCAGGCAAATTCGTCCCTCCGCTGTTCCACCCGAACGTCTACCCCTCCGGCACCGTCTGCCTTTCGATATTGAACGAAGAGGAGGCATGGAAACCTGCCATCACCATCAAACAAATTCTTCTGGGCATTCAAGACCTACTGAACGACCCGAACCCGGAGTCACCCGCCCAGGCTGAGGCATACAATCTGTTCAAGAAGGATCGACCGGCGTATGAGCGACGTGTCAAGCAAGTGGTCAAGGAAAACCCGGCCCTTTGAATGTCATTGATGCGTACAGTGAACAATGCTATCGCTTGGTACATTCTAGACTCCAAACACACAAACACACACTCGACTACGGTTGTCGCGACAACCAGACCTTGGTCTATGCGCGGATGCAGCTTTCGGCGATTTCCTGCATTTGTGGCAAACGAACGGATCGCCGCGGACTTCGTCATCTCTTTCTCCGACGCGAAATGACAATCTTCACCGAGAGATTCGTGCAACAGAATGGTGATTGATATCTGGGTCCAGGAACTCTTCCGATCAGCGACTACATGGCGTCTTATGTCCTCGAAACGTTTTGCATGTTGTTTCTCCTTTCAAATCTGCCGGCTGATTTATTTTATGTATTCCCCATATTGGCCAGTCTGTTTAATTTTTTTTCTTAGCGAGAAGCATGGCGTCTCAAAATCAACAATATCGTGGTGGCCATGCATGGCTTCATTGAGAGAGCAAGAAAATCCGACCGAGGTCGTACCGCACTGGCCGGGTTGGTGTTCTCCGTTCATTCTTGGCACACCTTCTAGATCGCAACCGATTTCGTCCGCATGGAGACAGAACAGAGATTGAACGTTGGCACATTGGCACGTTGTCAATTTGTCCGCTCATCCGGGACAGGTATACAATTGCCTGAATGTCCTGGATGGACTCCCCCATGCATTAGGATTTACCTACCTTCTATAGTAGTGTTGATTACGACCTGTAGTTACCTTCCAGACGTCACGAAGATCAATTAAACCAATGAGAACCGGGGAGAAAGGTCCGACGTCCGAGACGGGCCACAGTTATCTTATCGGGTGAGTCAGTCCAATTACTTGTGGCCGAAATCGCCCCTCGTTCCGCCCCGCCGGGAACGGGTTGCTCGTTCTCATATTTTAAATTCACCTGCTTCCTCTTTCTCCCCCAGACGGTTCCATTCAACGTTTGGTCAATTGCTCCTGGAATATCTGCTGCCTGAATCTTTGAGTGCTTTCTCAATTGATTGTCGCCAGCATGTGTGGTATCTTCGCGTGTCACCAGTACGTCTCTTTATGCCGATGGCCATGCCACATTCCTTGTCCTTCAATTTTCTTGACCTGCGACATCGCTTGGGTTGAGTCAATCACTGACCATGTCCACACAGTCACCCCGATGTGCAGGCATTCAAGCCTACGGCCTTGCGCATGGCCAAGGTGTAAGTCAATCAATCACCCCCTCTTTTCTCTCGCCTGCGTGATGTTCATCTTTCGCTGATTGTTGTTTCTAGCTTGCGCCACCGCGGTCCCGATTGGAGTGAGTCATAGTGCTTTCAAGTGTGATCGACAGCAGTAGCATTTTCTGACCCAAGAATAGGCGGAAGCTGGATCTCTGACAGCACCAGTGAGTTGAGCACAACCGCGTCTATTCCTCATAGCAAACACTAAGTGAACTATAGTCCTCACGCATGAGCGTTTGTGTATCGTCGGTGTCGGTACGTGCTTCATCGCCCACCCGTTCTTCGGACCACCTAACAAGGAACCCTTTTTCAAGACTCCGGCGCTCAGCCCCTTGTCAACGATGACGGCTCTCTCGCCCTGGCCGTCAACGGCGAGATTTACAACCACCGTATTCTGAGAAAGAACCTCAATGCCGACTACCAGTTCAAGACACACTCTGACTGTGAAGTTGTTATCCCACTGGTAGGTGTGACGAAACCCGGGAAAATTTGCTCCCGTGTCAGATCAGGAGCTAATCAATTCCCCAGTACATGGAATATGGCCTGGACGCCCCCAAGCACCTCGACGGCATGTTCTCGTTCGTGCTTTATGACAAGAAGCAAGACAGGGTTATCGCTGCACGTGACCCCATTGGTGTGACCAGCTTCTACATCGGCTGGTCGTCCGAGACTCCCGGTGCTGTGTACTTCGCCTCCGAGCTGAAGTCTCTGCACCCCGTCTGCGACAAGATCCAGGCTTTCCCCCCCGGCCATGTCTTCGATTCCAAGACCGGCGAGTTCACCCGCTACTTCCAGCCCAAGTGGTGGGACGCTGCCAACGTCCCCACCACCCCTATCGACTACAAGGTCATTCGCAAGTCTTTGGAGAAGTCTGTCCGCAAGCGTCTCATGGCTGAGGTTCCTTACGGTGTTCTTCTGTCCGGTGGTCTTGATTCCAGCTTGGTTGCCTCCATTGCTCAGCGCGAGACCCTGCGCATGCAGGAGGCCGCCCGCACTGCTCAGGCGCAGGGAGTCTCTTCTGACTTGGTTGGTATTGATGACGAGAACGATCTCTCCACTGTCACCACCTTCCAGCAGCTGCACTCCTTCTCCATCGGTCTGCCCGGTGCTCCTGATACCCAGGCTGCCCTCGAGGTTGCCAAGTTCCTTGGAACCAAGCACCACGCCTTCACCTTCACCGTGGAGGACGGTCTCAACGCGCTTTCCGATGTCATCTATCACCTCGAAACCTATGATGTCACCACCATCCGTGCCTCTACCCCTATGTACCTCCTGAGCCGCAAGATCAAGGCTATGGGAGTCAAGATGGTTCTCAGTGGCGAGGGCAGTGATGAGATCTTCGGTGGATACCTGTACTTCCACGCCGCTCCCAACAAGGAGGAATTCCACAAGGAGACTGTCCGACGTGTCAAGAACTTGCACTTGGCTGACTGCTTGAGAGCGAACAAGTCCACCTCCGCCTGGGGTCTGGAAGCCCGTGTTCCTTTCCTCGACAAGGAATTCCTGGAGACTTGCATGGGTGTCGACCCCGCTGAGAAGATGATCACCAAGGAGCGTATTGAGAAGTACATTCTGCGCAAGGCTTTCGACACCACCGACGAGCCTGATGTCGAGCCTTACCTGCCTGACAACATTTTGTGGCGCCAGAAGGAGCAGTTCAGCGATGGTGTCGGCTACAGCTGGATTGATGGCCTCAAGGATCAGGCTGAGCTGCAGATCACGGACGAGATGATGAAGAACCCCAAGCCCGAGTGGGGAACCGACATCCCCGACACCAAGGAGGCGTATGTCAAGCCTTTTCCTTTTGTAGTCTATCAGTGATAAGGACGTGTGAGCTGACTTTTGGAAATTCAGGTACTGGTACCGCTTGATGTTCGATGAGCACTTCCCCCCCACTTGCGCGGGCACCGTCGAACGTTGGGTACCCACATGGTCCAAGCAGACCGACCCTAGTGGAAGGTAAGCAGGAGCTGTAGGAGTCGGATGTCAAGCCATGTTCACTGACGAATCTCATCTATCAGAGCCATTTCCACTCACAACGCCAAGTACGACAACGCTGTTTAAACGAATTTATGCGATCCTATGTAATGTGTGTGGGTTCTCAAAGTTTTTGGGTATAGAAGCATGCATGGAGTGATTTTATCCTGGAGTCAGGCATTGGGACGCAAAAGTAGGAATTGCTTTGCTTATCTTCTCAACAAAACGTTTTTGTAAGAATGGACTGGAGCTGTAGCGTTAAGATCCCCAATGTATCTACTTTTGGATAGAGTGTTAAGACTCTCAAGATTTTATGGTCAGATTGTAATGCTCAACCACAACGAATGAGAAATCCTTTAGAAGAAAGAACATGGCTAGGTACCTATAAGAGTAATTTTCATTGCAGGGTGCAGGGAAAGCCGAGGCAACAAGAACTGGCAATACATAAGGTAGCAGCTCTGCTAGCTCAGCTTGCGGAAGCGGACAGAAGCAGAAGCCGCAGGAGAAACACGGCCCCAGGCATCGACATCACGGGACTTAGCGGCTTTTGCCGGTGCCCAAGCATCCACCAATCAGGGCGTGGGTTTTCTCCCGTGGCTTCCCCATTGTTTGCCTGCTTTGACGACTCAACGACCTCTTCCTGCCCTGTTTCCCCATCGTTTCCCTTTCCCTTCTTCTCCCCCTCGTCACCTCATCCTTTCCCCCGTCCAACCACCTCCCATAACAAGACCTTCTATTCCTCCACCCACCTCCATTCCACAATGTCTGCTCCTGCTGCTTTCTCTGACATCGCCAAGGCGGCCAACGATGTACGCTTTTCTTTTCAGTCGTTCCGACTTCGAAAGACCTCGGATGACAGTATCTCCTAGAAGGGATTTTCGTGCTAATAAACAGCGCAATAGCTCCTTAACAAGGACTTCTACCACGCCAGCGCCGGTGAGTCCCCCACTGCTTTTCGCGCTCTTTCGAGGACGCGTTTGATGATCTTAAGTGCGCAAATTTGCTGACACCCTACTTAGCCAGCCTTGAGGTCAAGTCCAAGGCCCCCAATGGCGTCACCTTCAACGTGAAGGGCAAGTCTGCCCACGAGGGTCCCATTGCTGGCTCCGTAAGTTGAACCAAACCATACCGAAGCACGATGCTTGGATGCTAAACCTCAATTGTGCCAATAGCTCGAGGCCAAGTACGTCGACAAGCCCACCGGTAAAGGCCCCAGATCGCGCAAAAAAACACGCGAACATCCCTTGCGCAAACCTCCCGACCCTCCACCTTCCAGAGTGCCCGACAACCGGCTCACGCTCATGCTTGCGTGTGGCTATGTCCCGTCTAAGCACCTCTTCGTCTATCTTATGTCAATGAATACCCAGCATGCGGTAGTGCTAATGTTCCGTCCTCGTTCAGGCCTCACCCTCACCCAGGCGTGGACCACTGCCAACGCCCTCGACACCAAGCTCGAGCTCGACAACAACATCGCCAAGGGTCTCAAGGCTGAGATCCTCACCCAATACCAGCCCGCTAAGCAGTCCAAGGGCGCTAAGCTCAACCTCCACTTCAAGCAGCCCAACCTCCACGCCCGTGCTTTCTTCGACCTCCTCAACGGTCCCTCCGCCAACTTCGACGCTGTTCTCGGCCACGAGGGCTTCCTTGTCGGTGCCGAGGGTGGCTACGACGTCCAGAAGGCCGCCATCACCAAGTACTCCGCTGCCGTCGGCTACAGCGTTCCCCAGTACTCCGCTGCCATCACCGCTGGCAACAACCTGACCGTCTTCTCTGCCAGCTACTACCACCGCGTCAACGAGCAGGTTGAGGCTGGTGCCAAGGCCACCTGGGACTCCAAGACCGGTAACTCCGTCGGCCTCGAGGTCGCCAGCAAGTACCGCCTTGACCCCTCTTCCTTCGCCAAGGTATGTTCCGGATATGAATGTCAAGCGTGATAAGGTTTAACCTGTTCGACTGTGATAATAGGCCAAGATCAACGACCGTGGTGTTGCCGCTCTCGCCTACAACGTTCTCCTCCGCCCTGGTGTCACCCTTGGCCTTGGTGCTTCTTTCGATACCCAGAACCTCAACCAGGCTGCCCACAAGGTTGGCGCCAGCTTCACCTTCGAGGCTTAGAAGAGCTACCATAGTTAGCATCAGTCCGCACTCAGAGTCTAGCGTTCGAGTTAGCCGGATACATTGATTTTTGGAAGCCTTTAAGAGTAGAAACTTGATTGCTTTCTTATGGTCTTTGAACGGGCTATTGGTTCGCGCAGGATTGGTCTTGTGGGTGGGCGTGGGTTCTTATGGATGTCTAGTTAATAATCATGTATCGTATCTACCGACGATAAGTGTATATCAAGTCTACATTTCCCTTTGTTCATTATATGTACATGCTGCATGATATCAATTGATTAAACCTGTGGTCTGGATCCAATGCCACCAAGGTATCTACCGAACTCCTGTACCATGTGTATCTCTCTACCCGACACATTTGACGATGCCAACCGAGCCCAATACACTCATGCACCCATAAACATGATCACCTGTATAAGCACACCTCATCACCTCAATTGATCTTTCTGTTTGCTTACTTTCTCACGTGGCCATTGAAACAAGCCCGCCACTGTTGCAGCCCCGACCAAGATCCCACAAACAGCCGCGAATCGCATGGCGGCCCCCCAGGGACTCCCAATGTACTGTTCCTTCAGGGCGGCTTCCATGGCTTTCTGCCTCCGCTCTTTCCGCCGAACATCTTCCGCCGACTGAGTCTTATAGTGACCCCTAGCGTTGAAATGATGAACGGTATTCCTATGAATGAACGCCGTCGGATCCTCATCATTAGTGGTAGTGGATGACTGGCCCGCAGCATCACTCCCACCACCACCTGTCGAACCCGGCCCCGGGTTCGTCCTCCCCGTCCGCCCATACCCACCATGCGCGTAGAAACTCGGCGGCGGGCCCCGGAACTGACCCCGGCGATTGCTCAGCCCACTGGCGGGGCGGGACCCGGCGTACGAGGCCCCCTTCGTGTGGAGGTTGGCCCCGCCGCCGTGGCTGCTGTAACTGCCCATGGGATGTTGGCCGGCCGTGGCGGTGGACCGCGTGTTCTGGTACTGGGCGTAGATGCCGTGGTCGCGGTCGTAGGCGGCGCGCTTGTTGGGCTGGCTGAGCACGTTGTAGGCGGAGGAGATGCGGGCGAAGCGCGAGGAGGCGGTCGGGTCGTCGCGGTTGCGGTCCGGGTGGTGGCGCATGGAGAGGGTGTAGAATTTTCTGGATTTTTGGTTAGATTTTGGGTCGGGGTATGTGGAGTGGGGTTTTGGGGGTTTTGGGGGTGAGGGGGGGAGGGAACGCTACGCAACGCAACGCAACGCAACGCACTTTTTGATCTCGCCTTGGGAGGCGGTTATTGGGATGTCGAGGACTTCGTAGTAGGTTGGTTCGCGGGCGGAGGCGTGATGGTGGGTTGTGGTGGAGAATGAGGAGGTTTGTTGTTGTTGTGACGTGGAGACATTTTTGTAAGGATGTGGGCGAGGGTGAGATGTGTGGATGTGAGCGAATGGCGAAGATGATGCTGCTGATGCTGTTCGGGGTTGAGGTCGAGGGTTGTTATAGCGGCATTGACGGTGGATGAAGGAGGATGCGGCGGCCCGCAGACGAGAATGTGACATTTCCCGCAATTCACGGTGGTCGGTACATGTAACGATGTATGAGTTGCGGGCTGAATCAAGCCAGTCACTCAAGGACAATTGGGGAGCGAGAAAGATAGTTATACGATGTGTTTGTACTGTGCTGTGGTAGGGGTGGAGAGGTTGTTGAGGCGGACGAAAATCCGCCGCCCCTGTTCTTCGGAAGTGCGGGCTGCTGCCATGCGTCATCGGGTGGCTTATCTGATCGAAGCTAGTCAAGGACTAGTTAAGTTAACCGGCCTACTATTTGTACATAATGTATGTATGGTAGGGCTGGACTCCAGGAAACACGAGGGGCGTTCGTCTCTACATCTAACTTTACTGTTGCTAGTTAATGCATGGATGCTGGGTTCCTCAGATCCCTACCCGTGGTCAAATGTCTACTTCTGATACTGTCATGGCTTCGGGCTTCTTCCGTGCCCGGCTTTTGAGGGATGGGCTCTTGACGTTCCACCGTGAGGTAGATTTGCGGTGGACTTGTGACGCTGGTCATTAACTGTGGCTGAAGTGGTCTGAGATATCTCTTGTATATTGGCAACTTGGGTGTCTTGCCATTCGATGCAACTGAAGTTCTTCTTTGAGCACTTGCCTTCCTTGAGCTCTGTTGACACTATTCACTAACTATAGTGTTGATGTCTTGCTGAATGGATCTGTTATAATCATCGGTCAATTTGTTAAAACTCAGGTTGGAGATATGAGATCACTTGTATAAAGAACCAACACACTCTCTCTCCTATTGTCATTGCATATACACGGGGCGAACTAGTTGCAGATGAGTACTACAAACAGTAGTTACTGGGTTGCCAGTTGGTGCATCGCCGAATTTGCCGTTTGCCGTCAAATCATCCTTAATTATTCTGAGCAAGTCTTGGCGCCGACCGTCTTTTCCCCCGTCGCCTCCGCCGAACTTCAATTTCCCCTCTCTTTCCCTACTCCCTCCCTCTTTTCCTTTCATACCACACCCGGTTTCTTTCCAGCTTCTTCAACATGGCTGCCCAGGCTAGTGAAAAGCTGCAGAAGCTCGACCGTAAGTGAAGATTCCCACTTTTCTCCGACCCATGTCTCCTCGTCCCGACATGTGACTGATAAGATTTCCCCGCGCCACTAGTCAACGGTCAGAGCGGCGATGCGAAGGTCGACGCTCCCGCCGCTGGTCAGGCTGGAACCGGAGAGGCGGAGGATGATTCCGACGACGATGAAGTCGAGGATAATAACGCTGGCGCTGAAGGCGCAGCTAATGGAGGTACGGATTTCCCGCTTCTCCCCAGACAACTTCAACAACCTCAAGGCTCTCGATACTAAGAAGCGCAAATTTGCAACTGCAGCCGCCAAGAAAAAGAAGAAGCGCAAGTCCAAGAAGAAGAAGAAGGGTGGCGCCAAGGTCCAGAGCTCTCCTCCGCGCGTTCCGATCTCGACTTTGTTCCCGAACAACCAGTTCCCCGAAGGAGAGATTGTCGAGTACCAGAATGAAAACTCCTACCGCACTACCAACGAGGAGAAGCGCTATCTCGACCGCATGAACAATGACTTCTTGCAGGAGTACCGCCAGGGTGCTGAAGTGCACCGCCAGGTCCGCCAGTATGCGCAGAAGAACATCAAGCCCGGCCAGACTCTGACGGAAATCGCCGAGGGCATCGAAGACGCTGTTCGTGCTCTGACGGGCCACCAGGGCCTGGAGGAGGGTGACAACATCAAGGGTGGTATGGGTTTCCCGTGTGGTCTGAGTCTCAACCACTGTGCCGCCCACTATACACCCAATGCGGGCAACAAGATGGTGTTGCAGGAGAGCGATGTCATGAAGGTTGATTTTGGAGCTCACATCAACGGACGGATTGTCGACAGTGCCTTCACTGTTGCCTTTGATCCGGTCTATGACCCTCTCCTGGCGGCTGTCAAGGACGCCACCAACACTGGTATCCGGGTATGGCTTCAGTGCCCCGAATGACCTGACTCCACACATTGAACTAATGGTTTCTTGGGGAAATAGGAAGCCGGTATTGATGTTCGCATGAGTGACATCGGTGCCGCTATTCAGGAAGTCATGGAGAGCTACGAATGCGAGATCAACGGAACTATGCACCCCGTTAAATGTATTCGAAACCTCAACGGTCACAACATTGACCAACACATTATCCACGGTGGGAAGAGCGTTCCCATTGTGAAGGGCGGAGATCAGACCAAGATGGAGGAGGGTGAAGTCTTCGCCATCGAGACCTTTGGAAGTACCGGAAAGGGCTATGTGCACGAGGATGTGAGTGCTTCGTATCCAAGTCGATCTACATGCTTACTGACGACTGCGGCCTAGATGGAAACCTCTCACTACGCTCTGGTCCCTAACGCTGCTCCGGTGCCTTTGCGTCTTTCTTCCGCCAAGAATCTGTTGAACGTTATCAACAAGAATTTTGGAACTCTTCCCTTCTGTCGTCGGTACCTCGACCGGTTGGGCCAAGACAAGTACCTCCTTGGAGTAGGCATTTCGACAGCATTGCGATGGCGGACGAGTGCTAACAGACCTTACAGCTAAACAACCTGGTGCAGTCGGGCATTGTTCAGGACTACCCCCCGCTTTGCGATATTAAGGGCTCTTACACCGCCCAGTACGAACATGTATGCTCTTCACTATAGTGTCGCTAGTATTTCTTGAACCCACGCTGACCTGTTCATAGACCATCGTCCTCCGACCTAATGTAAAGGAGGTGATCAGTCGCGGAGACGACTACTAAGATGGGTCTTTTTATGCCTATGAATTCTGCCACGGCATGCGATATGTTTGCTTAAATAGCATATATAGAAAACACAGAACAAGGTTGTGTAGGAAAGGAATGAACAGTACCGGCATTTTTAAGTAGGGTCATCATCGACCCGTCTTCACTCACTTGAGCAATGTTTTTTGTAAACAAGACTTGAGAGGATCAAACCATAAGTCGGGATGCGGGTAGCCCCACGTGGAAAGGGTGTCCTCCGAACCGTCCTCTCAGCTTCCTGCTTAATCAGATCACTTTTCTTTCCACCTTGCACTCTTGCGCCCTCCCTCCTTACTTCTTTGTCTCCCTTCTTCTTACTTCTTATTCATCCATGGCGCCCAGTAGCCATTAGACCAACCTCTTTTCATCCTTCCCCTCCCCAATTGCCGACCTCTTCAGTATGTCCTCTTCTGTTGTCGAAGCGGCCACGGCTGGAACTTCGCCGCATCTCCGCGTGTCCGCGGCCAAGAGCCAGGATCCCCAGGCCACAGCACACGATGGCCAGCCCTCCGTGAGGATTGCGCCTCCAGAAAAGTCAGCTGTTGAGGATCATTTTTTCTGGACCTATACGGAAGAGCCCCATCGATCGAGGCGATTGGCTATCATCAAAGCCCATCCAGAAGTGCGTCGTACTCATTCCAATATCCCTGCCAGACGGTCAATACTAACAACTCTCGTCTTTGTGTGTTCAGGTCACCAAGCTCTGTGGACCGGAGCCATTGACCAAATATGTCGTTCTGGGAGTCGTGTCTCTTCAAATCCTCTGCGCCTACCTCCTCCGCAATACTTCCATGCTGTCCTGGAAATTCCTCGCAACTGCATACGTGATTGGGGCCACGTCCAACCAGAACCTCTTCCTCGCAATTCATGAGATCTCACACAATCTTGCCTTCCGGTCCGCAATAGCAAACAGATTACTGGCGATCTTCGCCAATCTGCCCATTGGCTTGCCCTATAGTGCTGCCTTCAGGGTATGTGGCCACCCCGAACCTCAAACAAGCTCCCGCACGCTCAAGACGGGTCGTTACCGCGTGTGGCGACGTGACCATATACAGGATTGCTAACGTGAAACTCCACCGTGTTCCCACACACAGCCCTACCACCTCACCCATCACAAGTCCCTCGGTGTGACCGGACTGGATACCGATCTCCCCACCGCCGTGGAAGCCTTCTTCCTGGATTCGCTCCTGGGCAAGGCATTCTTCTGCACCTTCCAGATCTTCTTCTATGCCGTCCGGCCCATGTTCATCTACAGCCCGCCCTTCACATACATCCACCTCCTCAACCTCGCCGTCCAGCTCTCCTTCGATTACTTCCTCATCCAGTTCTGCGGCGGTTCCATCCAACCCGTCCTCTACCTCCTCATGAGCTCTTTCCTCGCCGGCTCCCTCCACCCCTGCGCCGGCCACTTCATCGCGGAGCACTACTTCTTTTCGCAGGTCTCGCACGGTACCGAGTCCCTCCAGGAGCTCCAGAACCCGAAGGGGGAGAATTCCACCACGGCGGCCCCGCATCCGCTGGACTCCCTCCCGCCTCCGGAAACATACTCCTACTACGGGCCCCTCAACTTCTTCACCTACAACGTCGGCCTACACAACGAGCACCACGACTTCCCCGCGATCCCGTGGACCAGACTGCACGAACTGCACCGCGTCGCCAAGGAGTTCTACGAGCCCCTGCCCTGCCACCACAGCTGGGTGTGGGTGATCTGGACGTTCATCTTGGATAAGAACGTGGGCATGTGGTGTCGCGTCAAGCGAGCGCAGGGTGGTCGTCTCGTAGGAGGTGGCGGAGGTGGCAACGGTCGTGGTGGAGAGGGCATCTCGGCTTCCTCGTCGGCTGGTCCGCAGGAATCCGGGGATGGATGGAAGGAAAGCGAGATCCAGAACTGATTTCGCGCTCCCACCATCTATCTACCCGCATCGTGTCATTGTATACGCCGCTTCTTTGTTGATTGAGTGATGGAAATTCCGCTGCACTGCCCTTGTGCATTATCACCTCACTATGTATACCTACAATTAGACATGACCCGTTTGGCCTTCAGCTCTGGTTATTTTCTCCACAGACTTCGTGTGCGGGTCTCCGAGTCATGGTCATGAATAAGATGAGATTCTTCTGGTTCGCAACAAATCTGTATCACGACTATCGCCCAAAACAAACGCATATAAAGTAACCCATAGCTCGGAGAGAGATTCATTATCATGGAACTATCAGCTATGGAACAATATTGGAAGGAGCATGGAAGAACAAAAGGGCTGAATCCCCGGCAAGGATTTATCAACATTCGTGGTGTGGCATCATCGTAATTAGCTCAGTGGAGTTTCACTGCCTGGTTCAGGAACGCATGGATTCCGTCTAGAAGAAAAAGGTTCTCGCTCATCGAAGAAGGTGTAGGGCTGGAGGCAACGAGAAGAAGAAAAAACAAATGTGGTTGAGGAGAGTCGAAGACCACGGAGTCATGACCCGACAAACTCAAAGCCGGGAAGGCTCGCGACCCGATGGCACATGGGACATGTTGTACCAGAAGGTGTCAAATGTGGAATGTGTGTGTTATCAGCGGCCAGATGTCGCAAGCATAGCTTAAAGTCGCCGCGACCTTGGACGATGGAATCTCAAGTTTTCATGTCTGGCTGAAACAAGAACTCTGCCTCCATTTACATCATATCATCAAATATGAAAAAAAAAGTAACAAGACAATGGAAGAAACAAGGGTGCTTGCTCAAGTAGAAGAAAACGGCATGGGGAGACCGGGCCGAATTAGAACGACCATGAAGAAGAATAAACGGGCTGTCACAACGAATAAATAATAGCACCGTACCACTGCTGTTGTTGTCGACGTAGCAAAGTAAGGGAATTGGCAGAAGGGAATACAGTTGGTCTGTAAAGAAACATGATGGGAAAAGGGGGTCACAGGAAAGGAAATTCAAAAAGAGTGGACACAAAGAGGGGAGGGATCAAGACATTCAGAAGAAGAAGTAGGCGATCAAGAAGCTTAGCAGGCATAGACCCGCCACGATCTGCACGGGCACACCAGCCTCCACGGACTGTGGCTGCTGTTGCGCCAAAGGCGCGGGCAGCTTCTCGGCATCGGTTCCGATCTTTCGCTGTCTCAGACCCTGATCTGCCAACTTCTCCTTCAGCGCTGAGATTTGCGAATTTGCCTCGGACAATTGGGCTCTCAAGTCTTCGCTAGCGCTTGCTACGGGTGACTTTGAAGACGTGGCCGAGCTTTCGATGATCTGCGGGGTGGAGACTTCCCGCTTGGGCTTGTCGCTGAAATCTGGCGGTGGGATGGGTGACGTGTCGTTCGCGCTCTTCGTAAGCGCGGCAGCAGGAGTCTGATAGTTGGGGTTCGGCGGCGAGGTATAGGCAGGAGGCTCTTCATCGGGTACATTCTGCGCAACGTAATTAGTCAACGAAGTGACGAATGAGGAAAGTAAGGGGCTAAAATGACAACTTACGCCAGTCGCCTCGACTCCTTGTTCCTCAACTGGGGCATCATCGGCGGCCAGCCAGTTCACACGAATTTTGCGCTCCTGGAGTGCTGTCTTGGGGGCTTTCTCAAACTATTGCGCCGGTTAGGTGATGCTCTGTACTAGAATCTGGGGGCCGTGGGAGAGGGCGGGCGGAAAACCAACAATCGAGGTAACATTGGCGAACTCCATATCACGAGTGACCGCGACTGTCTGAACGAGAAACTTGTCCTTGCACTTGGCATCTAGCGCAGGCTCCTCCTTCATGGCCTGCAACAGAACTATCGAACTTGTCAGACATTAAGCCGAATGAAGGGGTTTGAAAACGGAGCCCAGTGAGACCGACCTTGGACATCGACATGTTTGCCAGGATCTATCCGGCCCGAGTTGGGACGAACGCAGTAGCTGGCCCTCAGTCAGTTGTGATTCAAACGTATCGGTTACTCAGGGGTGTGGAGTAGGGACTGGCCACGTACTGCTTAGGGGCGGTAGTTTTGACCTAGTATACGGGAGCTTGTTAGTTTGCTCGCCATTTTGATTCTGATCCGGCTCGTATACGTACCTTGAAGACGACAGGCTCCGCACTCTCGTTCTTCAGGTGCAACATCTGACACACCTCACGGTTGAAGGGACCTGGAACCGGTGAGCCGGGCGGTCCATGGCTGGTATAGAAGCTCGACCAGGGGAGAGGGAGTATTGCTCACGCTGAAAGCCCAACTCCGGGGGATCGAGAATGATAGACATAGCGAATACGCGGCGTAGAGGTAGTTCGAGCGGGAGAAAGGGGGTTGCGCGGATAAGGAGTGGTGTAGGTACCAAGGAACGGGCTGAACAGGGCGGCGGGAGAGTCTTCCTGTCTACAGGAGGGAGAGCGCTAGAGTGACAAAGAGAATCAGCCAGGTCAGAGTAGCCAACGGAGTGCGGAGGACTGACGGAGAGAATTTACCTGACAAAGAGAATATTAAGAAGATAAATGTCTCAGCAAGAAAATCACAAGGAGAAGGTCAAACCAACTCAACGACAGGGCGAATATATGTTTAGGCGCAATTGGAATTGGGGAAGAAGAGTGAGGAGAGGCTGGAATAGTACGGAGTAATGATGAATGAGTTGGACTCGGCATCGCAACTGCTGCTGGTTGGGCCGGGGACACGCTGACTCAGCACGGCCACGGAGGTCCAGGTCAGGTGATGTCATCAAGGCGTTTGACATGGTGTTTCAGGCATCATTCGTGGCCAGTACCTGCATTCTAGGCAGTAGTACTCCGTATTCAGTCACGGCACATACTACAGACTCATATGTCGACTTCGTTGCTGCTGCACCGCAATGCTCATGGGCTGTTGCGATCGGACATTTTGGACAGATCTACCGGCTCCATCAGTTATCGGCCACGCCTGTCTGGGTCCATAGATTCGGGATCCACTGCTTGACATCGTCTAAAAATACTACTCTCTACCAGGTATTGATACTGATATCTCATCCTGTCAGTCAATAAACGCCAATATCTTGCATGCATTGTTGATCTTCCACAACCCCGCAAAGGACATTATAGCCCAGCCGATTGCACGCCACGGATTCACCACGCCTTGATTCTTCAGGCATGATCATCTCTGGAATGCGCGGTCTCGCCTTAATACTGCTTCGGTTCTCGAACCTTACAGCCCAAGATAACGAGGAACGACCCGGCAAGAGGTAGGTGGTCCTCTGATGGCAATCAGCTTCACACACCGATTCTTTTGAGCCTGTCAACGAAGCATCACTATTGGCTTGCGACGACTCACCGCTAGATATCATGAGATGATTTACAGATTACCTAACTACCGGCAACAACGTGTACTCAGCTAAGGCGCAGCTGGTAGGTAGGACTACGACTCTTGCGCTCGGCCCCAGCAGTCAAACGTGACCGAGGAGAGAACAGACATGGACAAAGCCAAAGAAGCCGAAGGCCTTGATTTGTTAAAAGATTCCGCCCAACTATCTCGAAGTACCGGTTCAGGATCCAGGTCTGGTGAAATAAGCCACAATACTCTGGTGTCAGCAGCGTCTTCTAACTGGATGGGACTTCGAAAGGAGTGACCAACCTTGGGACATCTTCGTCCTACGTTCGCAAATCCTGGACAAAACTGGTTCGACTAGTCATCAACATCGTAGAGCATCTACTAATCATAGTACTCTCTCGTCGACTGTAGTGATAAGTCATTGCGGCCGTTTTTTTCTCTCTGCGCAGGCGAGATTTATCTATAGAAGTAGAATCCTCACGCAAGCTGCGGAGATTGCATTTGTGGCCCAAGCAAAAATGCCAGGAACCACCAAGACTTCAGACTCCTTGACGAGCAAAATGGGTGTTTCTTTGAGGTGCGATGTATAGAGCCCAGACCGTGGGCCTAGGAACGAGCCTGGGACTGGCTCAATTTTCGAGCTTAGCTGGCGGGTCATCCCGCAGTTGATTGATTGTTCCTCCGCTCCGCTCCCGAGCTTGTCGATACGTCACCCGCACCCTCACTGTTGACCTCCCCTCATCCACCTCATTCACCCTTTTCGATAGCAGCTTGCATTTTATTGCTTCTCTTTCTCACTATATTGAGTGGTATACAAGGTCGTGATACATTTCCATCTGCCTGTCACCTTGCCCAGGCTAAACCCCCGCCTTCATTACCCCGCCTTTGGGCTCTCCCTCTCGCTCCATTCGAATTTCTCGCTTCGATCAGCAATTATTGCACCCACCCCGTGCGACCATGGCCTCCGATCTAGACCAGCTCATTGAGATGGGCTTTGACAAGGAGAGAGCACAGCTTGCAGTCGCCAAAGGCACCGGACGTACGATTTTCCCTCTGGCCTTCTGCTGTCGCCGACTGCTGACGTGCTTCATTTCTTTTACCACTTTAGTGCAGGGTGCTCTAGAATGGCTCGAAAAGAACCAAGACAAATCGATCGATGAAATCAAGGAAGATGAGGAGGCTGAAGGTCCTGCACTCACGCCTGGTGAAGAGGCTCGCAGTCTAGTCTGCAACGAGTGCGGCAAGAAATTCCGAAGCCACGCCCAAGCTGAATTTCACGCCTCGAAATCCCAACATACCGACTTCTCTGAGTCAACGGAGGAGCTTGCGCCACTGACTGATGAGCAACGGCAAGCGAGACTCCAGGAGCTCAGAGAAAGGCTGGCCGCCAAGCGAGCGGTGCAGTCTGAGCAGGATAAGGTTGACCAGAAGAGGAACGAGGTACGCGGACTACTGTCCTTGCCAGACCCTGTGATTCAAGCTAACCAGGTCTTATCCCAGGAAATCCGGCGGAAAGCTAACAAGGATTCACAAGACGTCAAGGAGGAGCTGGACAGGAAACAAAGGCTGAAGGAAGCGGAACAAAAGAAGAAGGACAAAATGGCAGACATCGAAGCTAAACAGCGGGTCAAAGCCAGGATTGAG